ATAGAGAAATGAATCAAATAAAGATAAGGGTTCCTTAAGTTCCTTGCCTTGCCCCACCAGTGTCCCTCCCCAAATTTATTTGTATTTACTCATCAGTACACATGCAAAGTTATCTGGAGGGGCATATACATTTACATTGGGGAGGGGGTGTTAGGGTTACGGCTTAGGTTACGGATGAGCGCCTTTTAGAACTTTTTCCGATAAATTACTTGTACTTTGTAAGAAATTGCAACTGCCAATCATTTTCAATGTTCATAATATATATTTAAAAAAAAAAAATATTCAACAAAATTTCTGTGGCTACACACTAGTGCCTACTATCTTTCATTATAATATAGTATTAGACCCATGAGGCACTTTTCATTTTCTGGCTATAAGTAAATTATAGTGTAGGTTGTTTTACACACATGTACACCAAAAACAACCATAAAATAAATCCTGTATTCTGTGGTAATCGTACCTACCAATATTTTGGACAGAATCAAAAAGTTTATTTTATGTAAATCAGCGCAATTATTTATTCTATGTAATTTAGGTAGGGTTATTTCAGTTTTTTTTTAAATATTATTTAGTCAGGCATGCCTGAGAAACTGTTGATGAAATGTAAAAATTTTGCAATTTTGTTGACAAAAACATGACATGTTGACGGTATTTGTGGGAAATAAAATGGCCGTCATCTATATGTCTCTAATTATGTCTTGTTTTTGTACCTACTTTCAACAACACTGGACAAAGCCTATGTGAAAAATGGTTAAGAACACATGGAAAAAAACAAATACGGCCACCAGTCAGCCATTTAGTATCAAATCAAAAAACAAACTAATGTGCATCAGTACCCAGTATGTGTGATGTTTCAATAAAACCAATCAAGACATGCCTGAAAAACAGTTGATGTAAATCTTTTTGAACTAAATCAGTCACAAGTTGGTCAAAGGTCAACAGAAACTAACAAGGAACCTAATGGTCAAAATAACTCTGTTGTCCTACAAGAACATTGTGGTAGCCAAGTCGAGAATAAATTGTTCACAAAAATAATTTAATAATCAAAGCAATTGGGTTGGTGTTGGGAAGAAGTTAAAAATAGTATTTATTTTTCACCAAAATTGACAAAAAAATTTGCCAAAAATAGAGAATTAAAGATATCGTCATGAAATGAACAAATCTGACAGAGGTCCACCCAAGGTATCTATATATTAAGTATCAAAGCAATTGTGCTGGTAGTTTTCAAGAAGAAGCTGAAAATGGAATTATTGATGGACAACATTGGATAATCACCTATGATATGAAAAACGGAGCTAAAAACTGACATGCATGTCTCCTTTGTGCCAACTCAACTTCGGTCATGCCTAGGAAATGCTGTTGTAAGGCACACATACACAGATGGACACGCGGATGAAACCAAAATCTTCATCTGACTAAAAACAAATTTAGGTTTAGCAATTACTGAAGAGTATGACTCATTCAAAAACAAAATAATAAACAAATTGAACCTGTGTTTTTTTACCAAAAACACCAAAATGTTTTATTTATGGCAACAGAAAACTACATGAAAAGAAATATTAATGACAGTCATATTGATAATAGCGATGTCAGATCACACGCAAAATTAAAAAAACCAAAAAAAAACATAAAAATACATACATAAAATAAACAAAATGTTGCACCAAAATTTTGACAGGAAAATTATTTTGTTTGAATGGTTTATAATGTTTTCGATCAAGTTAATTATTCTATTGGTGGTTCACACTAGGGGGCGCTATTCAGTCTACATGAAATGTTAAAGATTTTTTCCATATTTTTTAGCTGTATTAAAAAACAAATAACAAAGGTGAATGGATATTATTCTCAACAAATATTACTATAAAACTGGAGTTTAATACATTATTATACATCTAACATTGAAAAACAAAAGCATTTTAATACTTATCCGTGAACCACTATATAGGAACATGTTCCAGAAGCATTTGAATGTCTTTCTTATTTGGAAATTGTGCATCACATTTACGCTACATTTGAACAATAAAATATTTTCTGTTTTGTGCAACATCTCGCGAGACTATTAAATTTGCTTAGCAACCGGTTGCTCG